GAAATGGTTTGGAAAATTAAAAACAGTATGCTAAGAAGGAATACGGTGAGCCAATTTGATAATGATAGGAATGAGGGATTACAGTATTACTTTTTATCTGAAATTCATGATGTTATAATTACTTATCCAACAAACGGGCATACTTTTTTATACTCACTTTAACTATACAGTTCAATGGTTGACATAAGGAAATGTTCCAGGACAACCGCTTGACAGAATCTGCTTGTCCACCAAAATGTTTGGTTGTCTGCAATAACAAAGGTAAAAAAAAAACATTAAAAAAATAAAAGTAATTTAATAAGTATATTGCACTTTGAGTGTCTTGGTTGCGTAGAAAGGTGCTGTATAAGTACAGTCATTTGCCTTTATACAAAATTTATTTTATGCAAATGTTCTCAGTCAGTCTTTTTGTGGATTGCTTGGAATATCCAGTCTACCATAGGCATCGCATCAATTATATCTGAAAGGGACTTGTCTCCCTCACATTTAACACACATTTGCCATGAAATATTAGTTTACCCAGCGCTGAATTGAATTGAATTGAAATTAATTGTTTCTATTTCTTCATGAACAAATCCATTCCACTTGATTAATATAAGAATACTCAAACCACTAAAAGTCCACTCCGGGTTTTCCTGGTTACCTACAACAACTCACCAGGCAGTGTTTCCTCAGGTCACTTGGCTTGTCAGGGCTGTCACTGCCCGACCTGTTACAGAAGCACGATCCGTAGTGTCAGCTCATTTGTGCATGCGCTAAAAAGAATACTTCCATGTCGCACGGATCACCGTTGATTATGAATAGGAACTGTCTTAATTTACTTAGAAAAGTACGTGCTCTATCCCCGCCGATCTTCATGTGGCTAATTTACTCCGCTTGTATTTCAGTTAAAATCATTGACATAATTACGTCATTAGTTAAGATGATATGCAACACATTGGGCTGAATGAGAAAACCCTGCAAGATGCAGAATTAATTATTTCCATGGTGAAACAGCGCCGCTCAGTGATGAAGCTGCGTACCATTTTAACCATGACGTAAATATGTCAGTGATTTTAACGGAAATACGAGTGGCGTAAATTAACAACATGAAAATCGGCGGCAATAGAGCACATACTTTTCTAAGTAAAGTAAGACAGTTCTTATTCATAAACGGAATTATAACATTGTATAGAAAAATTAATCCATTTATAGAAAGATATATTTTAATTAATATTAATAAATATGGTATGTTTCATAAATATATTTTATTAATATCAAGTAATTATTTCCAGTACATTTTCCTTAATCTAGCATATTCAACGGTGATCCGTGCAACCCAGAAGTATTCCTTTTAGCGCATGCGCAAATGAGCTACACTATGGATCGTGCTTCCGTAACAGCTTCTGTTTTTGTTTGTTTGTTTTTTTGGTGGACGGGGTGTGAGGAGGAGGGGGAGACACCTCTGTGTTGAGGACTAGCTTAGCATTGCGTTAGTGTGGTGGTGTGGGGAGGTTAGGATGCGTGAGTGAAGTGGAGCGTGCTCTATTCACACAAGGAGAGCTGTTGGTCAGGTTATTTCTTGTTGTGCCGTGCTCTCTAAAATAGTTATTGAATCAAGTGTTCACTTGTGTAGGTAAATGTTGACGTTTAACAACCCATTAAAATTTACCAGAATGCAGGAAATGACATCTACTTCATTCAAAAATTTCTGGGGTACATGAACTTAGTAAAAGTACACAGTATACTGTTCTCTAATGAAGCGCTGAAGTCAACCCCTGAGTATGTACAGTACCTTGTAGAGAACAGTATTGAAATTTTGGTGGCAGCTCGGTACACTACATTACAAACTGCAGTGAACTGGTCACACGTGAACATAGACGTTAAATAATTCTTTACATGTCCTTAAAAGTGGGATGTCCTCCTTGGAAAATGCTCCAGGAAACACTGATTGGTGCTCTCACCTGCAGTCTGTCTCTAAGTTGGGATCACTTTGATCACCCACTGTGTGACAGACAGCACGACCCGCCCTGCTCTGCTCTGATTGGGTCAAACTGTGGCTCTGGTTCTGTTTACTTGTTGAAAGCAGCGTCAGTTTAATCCATGTATTATTAGATGATGATTAAATATCAGTAACTAATAAAATTTATTATAAATTTCTACTTTTCCAATGTCGCCCCAGCTGGCAAACTCAAAATGGCCCACGGGCCACCATTCGATAATCACAGTTGCAGCACATTTTGTGTTTCTGGACACATTTTATTGTGTATTGTTAAAAGTAGTCTTTGACATTGTTGCAGTGTTGTGGCACTTTGCACCATGCTCCTCACTCAGTACATTTATTTGCATTGTGCATATTTTTCATATCAGAAGCACTTTTTTAAACACATGGACAAAAAGGTGATCAGAGCTTTTAGAAAACTTTTTTAAAAAACAGTAATGCGTGCACCAGAAAAACCTGTAAGTAGTAAGTTCGTCAAGGTGTAGTTCCGATGCTTTAAAAAGGGGTTCTGTGGGACGCTGATGGACAATTAACATATTCCTTGTTGAAGATAATTTTTGAACTGCCTAAGTTTGAAGAAATGCAGTACTTTGATTCTGACAAGCTGACAGCTGCAGTGCTTCTACTGCTGCCACGAGCACTTAACAAGGATTCTGCCATAATGTGTGTCATGTAAAAACTGACAGCAGTGCAAATGATCTGAAAATAGAGTTTGCATAATCTGGATTATTTTATTTTTTTTATATGACAAAAGTCTGCTTTAGTCTTGGCCACATTTATTTTATTTATTATTATTAACCTTTTTTAACCAGGCAAATCCCATTGAGATCACAGCTCTCTTTTGTAAGGGAGGCCTGGGCCTGAAGGCAGACTAACATATATGTTTTTTTTCTGTGGGAGGAAACCCACGCAAGCACATGCAAACATGCAAACTCCACACAGAAAGACCCCAGGTCCAACTGGGGATTGAACCCAGAACCTTCTTGCTGTGAGGCAACATGTCAGTCTGGTGCATTAAATTGTTTCTCCAAACTGAGATTGTTAAAAGAGCTATCTACAACAGGTAAGATATTTATGGTTTATAATCTCTTTATTAGACATTAGAGGTTATAAAAGGCCAGTCTGTGATCTGAAGGTCGCCAGTTCAACCCTCCGGACCAACAACATCAAATGCTGGTGGGAAAGCATCAACACCTGTCTCCACCCTCATTTGCCTCACTCTGGGCTTTTGAGCAAGGCCCTTAACCCCCACCATCTGCTCCCCCAGCCGCCCTAGACAGCAGCTCTCTGCTCCACACAGAGGGCTGTGGTAGCTCGGTGGTCTGTGGTTGCATCTGGAAGGGCATCCAGCATAAAATCAATTGCCAAGTCTTGATGCGAGTTAGTTCACTGTGGCGACCCCTGAAGAAGGGAGCAGATGGAAGGAGACAAATAAAACTCTATAAAATCCACTTTCAAATTATCTGAGCAGTTCCATCATTTTTAAGTCTCAGAGTTTTATGTATGCGATTGATTATATAAGAAAAGATTCTTTTAGAAATAAAATATGGACCACTTTATATCAAGAACACAATTTCTGACAAGTTTTTAAATCAAATATAGCACATACAGGGGAGTTCATACACCTAAAAGATGCATTAAAGGTCGTTAGTGTTGCCATTACAGATCCTACTCTAAGCATAGCCCCAAATTTATTCAGTTACAGGTTTTTGTGTGGTTGGTTGTTTTGTTTTCGATACATTGGCTTATAACAATTGATCACCTGCACTGATTTCTAATGATTGCAGTCAGACAATGAAAAACTTTAATAAGTCTACCTCTAGTCCTAAATAAAAGGTAAATGATTTTGAAAACTAAAGTAATTGTTATAAATGTCCTAGGAGGGAGGATAGGACAGGTTTAGTAGTGAATGAGGTGTTATCAGCGTTGAATAAATTAAATGATGGCAAATCATGTAAAAGACAGATGACGCAGATTAGACAGAGAAGAGCCAGATAAACAATGATGGATGGTTCTAGATGGGAAAAATATTGAAATATCATCAAGCTAAGGTTATGGGTTTGTCCTACATCACACGATTCCTTCTTGAATATCTATATTTTTATGTTTCCCTCTCTTGTTTCAACACTTTGACTGTGCAATAACAGACTGTGGAGCTAAAAGTGACAATAACATTATCTATAAAATAAAAGGGATAAAACCTTCGTGCTACTATGAAACAGGGTAATTAATTAAGAGAACGAGTGTCCAGGGAAAGGTTCAAATAGTCATGTCAGTGTATAAAAGAAGAAGGTAGTAAAGAGTTATACTCAACTGGAAGAGAAAACCCAACAGACCCCCGCATGACCTTTGACCTGTTGTGTTCACATAGCATGATTTAGTTTCTACCGCCATCTACAAACGCCCTGAAAAACTGAGTAAAATCCATTTTTAGGAACGGATCTGATCCTTCAGGGGGCTCATCTGTCATGCTTGGTTCACTCTGCTGAACATCCATTTTTATCTGAATATCGTATCATACATCACTGAATGTAAATGAAGCAGTTTATCACTCTGTCACTGGCGTCTCCTTGGCATGGTCGCTTCTTTATGGTGAGATCCGTGTTGTGGCCAGTGGCGCTGAGGGCTCGTGAAACTGAGGATTTTAATAACTGCCAGAGGAAGCTGTTCAGCTGAATTCTAATCACATTGATTGAAGGTATTGACGAGTGGATCTGAGGGGGGTTTTACAGCCACTGTGGCTGTATAAATCTACACGAGTCTCTAAATGTTCACACTGTTTGCTCTCTTGTACTCTGTACTCTGCACTCACACAATATTCAATATACAGTATCATTATGTTCAAGTCTAACTAGATTTGTTTTCCCTTTACAAAAGCTGCTTTAACTTTCTAATATATGGTTTAAATTGATTAATAAACCAAAGTTACCTATAACATCATATATGCAATACTTATGAAACAAATATTTCATAATGTTCCTTCATTAATACTGCTCCATACCTGTTTTGTGCCACACAGGGGATATACAGCTGCATTCATGGGGTGCAGATCGAAGAGAAGAGCAGCTCTGCATTGAATTCCCCATCAGCCACCATGAACAACACCCATTCCAACATAATGCGCCTCTTACGCACCGCCAAGAACATGGCCTCCCTGTCGGGGGTGAACGGCTCACCTCACAGCGCTCTGGACTTCATTCGCCGAGAATCTTCTGTTTACGATATCTCCGAGCACCGTCGCAGCTTGGCAGGCCACTCAGACTGCAAACCTCCATACATGCCAGAGGATAACATGTTCAGCGACTACATCAGTGAGGTGGAAAGGACGTTCGGCAACATTCATATGAAGGACAGTAATCTGTACCAGGACCACTACCTACACCACCACGGCTCAACCCTAGGACTCAGTGGGCCTCCTCCCAACAGGCCCCACAGTTTGGGCAGTGGTAGTTCCCTGGAGGGGGGCATGTTTGATTGTGACAGCCTTGGTGGCGGAGTTGCGCCAATCTTTACCACCCAACCCTGCTCAGCACTGACGCACAGGAACATGAGCAAGTTTGACCTGTTGTCCGGACAGACGCCTCCTTCGGGCCAAAGCTTCAAGGGAGGTCTCCCAGACTTATACGGGAAGTTTTCCTTCAAGGGAGGAAGCTCCACCTACATCCCTGGACAAAGTTACTGTGCAGGAAGAGGAGAGGAAGATGGGAACATACGTTCAGATGTCTCAGATATTTCCACACACACGGTAACCTATGGAAACCTGGAGGGTAATGCCAAGAAGCGCAAACAGTATCGAGACAGCTTGAAAAAGAGGCCAGCCTCTGCAAAGTCCAGACGGGAGCTGGACGAGATTGAGCTGGGCTACAGGAGAAAACCCTACCACATCAGCCACCACCACTACCACAGCCAACGCTCTGCCTCCCCACCTCTTCTACCCTCTGAACGCAAGAGAGGCGGTGGAGGGGGTGGAGGAGGAAACAATAACGGGAACTCGTATCTTTTCAGAGAAAAGGAGAGTGTTAGGGACTTTTATTTGGACCAGTTTCGGCCTAAAGAGGGCGTCCCTCAGTGGGAACATGTGGACTTGACAGAAGGTCCAGTAGGCAGAGATGGGGCAGTATCTACCTGCACCTCCTTGGTACCTGTGGATGACTTTCTTAAGAGTAAGCCCAAGAAGTCTGATTCAAAGAGTGGGGGAGGATCTGGGCTGGCAGGGGGAGAGTGGGAGTGCAGAAACTGTCGGGCTAGTGTGGTAGGTGGGGGCAAACAGATGTCCATTCATGGAGGTGGTGGCTATGCTGGTGGTATGAGCTGTGGGTCCTCAGGAGGTGGAGGGAACAGCCGGCCCAGCTCCGCAACCTGCATGCGCTGCGATGGGTGTAAAAAGACAGGAAATTTGTACGATATCAGTGAGGACAACAACCACTCCTTGGAACATATGGGGGGAGGGAATGGAGGAGTGGTAGGTGGAATTGCCCCAGGCCCCCAAACTCAATCTCAGGTCCAGCAGAGGAGAAAGAGCGGAGGATTGGGGAAGCAGCTGAGGCGGCAGCATTCATATGACACATTTGTTGACCTTCAAAAAGAGGAATCAGGGATGGGAAGTTTGATGGGAGGTTTGGGAGGAGGTGGAGGGATGAGTGGTCCTGGTTTGGGAGGAATGCTGCCCCCACCAAGGAGTATTAGCTTGAAGGAGAAAGAACGCTACATGGAAGGTAACAGCCCCTTTGCACACATATTTGAGCGCCATGGGGGCTCAGAGAGGGAAAGAGAACGGGACAGAGACCCGTTGTTTTATGGAGGTGAGAGCCAGAAAGGACCTGGCTCACCATTTGGTCTGTTCAGAGGTGGTGAGGGCCTCCATCGCCGCTCCATCGGAGAACGAGACATGAGAGACAGATCTTTGATGGAAGGAGGAGGTGGGGCAGCATTCTCTTTATCCAAATCTCTTTACCCTGACAGGGTAAACCACAACCCCTTTATTCCCACCTTTGGTGATGACCAGTGTTTGATGCATGGAGCCAAACAATATTACATGACAAAACAACAGCAGCAGCAACAAATTGCCACAAACAGCCGAAGTGACTTCAGGAGTCAGATGAGTGCGGGATCATATCTGCCAGCGTCTGCCACAGCCGGGGTGATGTCCAGTGTGTCCCCCCGGTTCTCGAAAGAACTCAGTCTTGGTGGAATGAACCATCATGGCTCAATGCTAGGGGTTGGCCCCCCACGTCCCTTCAATGGAAGCAATGGCCATGTGTATGAAAAACTCTCCAGTATCGAGTCTGACGTGTAAAACACAAACTGGAAGGAGGAGGACAGCAATAGGAGATCAGGGCTAATTCTTTAAACACTGCAGACACAAAACAGCCCAAGTCCATGTGGAGACAGAAAGATGTGTGGGGGGCAAATACTTGAAGGTTGTGTTTATTAATTAGAATGAGGGAAATTGGTGAAAAATATCAGGACATCTTGAGGAGGTTTGGGAATGCTAACCTTCTCTGATAAAATGGCCAAAGCTACTCTGCATCATACAGTCAATAAACATTCCCCTCAACATTCCAGATAATAAGTCCCATCATGTCCTTCACCAGTGAGTTACAAGTCACTGTACTTGGTTGGCATGTTAATGATGCAACACCTCGTCTTAGTTTGCTGCCGTCCGTGTGGCGCGAGGGGATGGCGGTGGAAGGCTCCCGCGGAGCGCATGTGAGGAAGTACAGCAAGAGTGGAGACGGGAGCGAACTGTCCATCTGCCCCTGTGTTTCTGCAGAAAGTAGACGTTTTCACATTTGCCTGAGCCACAACACAGCCGAGCCTGTGCATCACTCTTCCCCCGTCCTCTTCTTCTCAGCCCCCACTCCTCCTCCTCCTCATTCCTGACACCTAAAGAGCTGTTTGTTATGAGAAATACAATCATGAATGATAATAAGATATTCTAATAGAAAAACAGGGTATAAGAACAACAATAACATGAATAACAAAGACATTTACACTGATTATGGTACTACTGTTTATGGCATCAGTAAGTTTTTTCTTGTTTCATATTCTGTTGGTATAATATTTGACTACTTTTTAAGTATCTGTAGTTGTATACTTGTCGATGGCAGCAGGACAGTTGTTTTTGTTGTTATCCTACAGGCCAGAAAGACTGAGTCTGTTTTTCCGTTCAACATATTACTCCATACTCGTTCATTTATTTGCTTCTTTTTGAAACGCTGGATCTTAAAGACACACTCGAAGCTGAGAAATGTTTAAAGACATTCGAAACCAAGCGCACACGTACGTATTTAAACACACACAGTTTTTTTTTTTTGTCAGTCTGAACTTGTGTTACTGTGAACAACAGAAGCTGAAGCTGCTGAAAGGAAGGACGTGCCTTAGTGGTCTCCAGTGGAAGTGTCCTCCAGTTCACAAGCGGCGGCAAGAGGATGGACACGCCGCTCCGTGTTCTTCTCACAATTGAGCCAAAACCGCAGTAGAAATCAACAGCGGGCTGCTGCTACTGCTGGTTTCAATATAAGACGCTGTTTAGGATCGTTTATATCTTCGTGAAAAATATTTAATACGTCAGGTATGGGGAGTGTTTTCTGAACCAAGTGTATTCAGGATGTCCCACTGTTAATAACAGGACTGATGGAAGCCTTCTCCCTCACTTTACACAAGAACACACATCATGCACTTCCTTTACTCAGCCTCTCTTTAGTTTTCTATTGAACATATTCATTTGGATTCCCATAAGCAGCCTGGGAGGCTCTTACAGAAAGTTTTGTTTTGACATTGTGTAAGGTTAATTTTATGCACTGTCACTTATGTCGGAGAAATGCTCGATAAACCATGAAGGCGAAGCGTTGCTATACGAACACAGTGAAAAGCTGAGCTATGGAGGCTTCTTAAACACAGGTAGAGGCTGCAGGAATGTGGTTATCTTGTAAAAGTTTTTAATATTATTATTATTATTGTTATTACTTGGACTGTTGTATATAGTCTGTTTAACTGAAGAGGCCTCATTTATTGCACAGGACCTTTTACTCATGTAGGTTCAGGCACTCAGTAGACATGCCTTATCGTCTCATCACCCCTGACCCGTCCCTCAAGCTGTCTGATGATGACTCGTCATGAACAGACTTACAGAGGCCTCTATTAGCGATTTGAAGGTTTCACCTTTGATTAGTTGGTTTTACAAGTTCAAGGGCTGAAGGAGATTGTGCTGGAGTGCTGGCCACAGAATAGACCTGTCAGAATGTGGAAAAGGATGTTTGTCTTTGCTGATTATACCCCGAAACAAACTCAACCCTGCTGAAAGTTGGTATGTCTGTGCTCATGGACACAAGGTATTTGCTCTTCAATAGGCATGGGCCGGTTTCTTACTAAAAGGAAAGGATACCATGATTTAAAATCTACAAAGGAAATCCAGTTATTACCCGTCTATGATTTAGACTCTTTCTAATGAAATGTCAGGGACAGCAGAAGGTTTTCTCACTTGTCTCACTTTTTGCAGCAACAAATAAACAGCTGTTATGACTTGGCAACTGAAGCAGCAGCACCCAGTTAGGACACATCTTGGATTCATAGGTTCAAGTTCAAGAATCTTTATTATTCCCAAGGGGCAATTTGTTTCACAGTCAGTAGGCACATAAAACATTCATACTAGACAAGACATTGAGACATTAAAATAACAGAACAGAAATCATCACTGTTCGTTGAGAAGCCTGATCTCTACAGGGATGAATGAGTTTTTCAGTCTGTTCGTTCTACATCTGGGCAGAGGATGCCTGCGTCCAGATGGAAGCAACCTGAACTCACCATGGAGAGGATGATCAGGATCTGCCAGAATCAGCTTGGTTAGAATTAAAGAAATTACATTAGAAAGAAATTACAAACAATATCCTACCTGTTGTTGTAGATAGCTCTTTGAACAACCTCAGTTTAAAAAAATATAATTTAATTCTTGGCGAGCTAGTCCAAGCAAGGTCAAAGTGGAATGCTGACGCCGTTTAATCTTTAAATTTGGTAACAATTTGTGCAAATACTTTTTATAAACCTTTAAGCATCTTTAATTAATTAATATTAGGATATTAATGCCAGAAGCTGCACCAGAAATGCTGAAGTTAGCTGATGTTGATTATTTCATTTCCCAATAAACTCAAAAATATGTGTAAATAATGTAATGTGAAGCTGAAGATGTTGTAAACGTTTATAACAAAAGTTTTGCATAAACTGCAAATGAAATAAATGACACTAGAGGTTTTTTTGTTTTGTTTTGTTTTTTTAAGACGGCAACAATTTAATTTGAGCTTGCCACAGCTTGGACTAGTTCATCAATCTGGTCAAAATTATAAACTGCTTCTCTAAACGTAACTTTCCAAAGAGGTATCTACAACAGGTAAGATATTATTTATTTATAACCATTCGTCAAAACCCAGTTTATAAACAAAGTTTGATTTATTGCTTTAGAGTAATGCTGTTTTAAAATGTTTACCACAAGCTACAAGAATTAGCACATGTAGCGGTGAAAAAAAGAGCTCACTGAAGAGGCTAATAATCTGGCTAATTTAATTGCTTACATCAAATTATCAGACTGCCCAAGTTATTTTACAAAGAGCAGAATGACTGATAAAACCAACAATTTATCAAAGTACTTTTACTTTTGTCATACAACCAAATTTATCTGATATTAATTCAGAAATTTTGTTTAGATTTTCTATTGTTGTGTACACATATTTCAAAAATGAACTTCTTTGTAAATGTGCCGGCATCAAAATAAATGCTCATTAATAAAATATATAAATATTATTACTATTACAGTTACAAATGAAATCATGGTGTTTTTGCTTCAGGTTATCCTGTCAGAATCGTTCACCGGCCCGTGCTTATTTTAGTGAAAATCTGCTGTTTTCCACTATTTATGAATTCAACAGTCTGCTCTCCTGAGCTCCACAGATAACGCTGTCAGAACGAGAATGATGGAGTTAGCCTTAAATCAGAGTCATCCACCCTCCCACACACGCCCATCACATTCCTAATAAATACCCTGAGATCTCTGGAATTTTTATACAAACACGTGGAAAGTTCAGGTGAAACGTTGTGATCGAGGCATCTGAAGAAAGAAACTACCGGAAACGGGAGGCTGCGACCTGAAGAAAAAACAACATCGACTGGCGTGGGCATCAATCTGTGTCAGCATTACTATGTTCAATCTTTTATCTTGTAAATAATCTATTTAAACAACTCTTTTCACTTTGTACAGTAAACAGACAGACAAGGATGTAACTTTCAATATGTTTTGCAATTTAAGAAACACACAAAACGACGACAAAAAACTTGTAAAAACCGAAAAACACAGAAAAATATGCAAACTATAGTTAATTACTAAGTATTACTAATCACAAGTAACTGAACCTCTTTTTCTTTCAAGCTCATGTTTACTTAATTATAACGGTTTTACCAACCAGTATACAAGATTATGTTAAGACTTATGCTTTTTTTCCCCCTTAATTTCGCTAAATTGTTGGGAATTAAGGAGAATTTGCTGTAGGTGTAGACGTTTAGTGGTTAATCGGGGGAAAAGTTTAGTTTTACGAGTCTTTGTTAAGTTCCCCTTGAATTGTGTTAGATCCTCTCTTTATAAAATAAGCTATTCTCCACACGTTTTTGAGATCGATTCACTTATCTACACATTTATGTGATACAATATTACATGTATACAGAGGTGATATTTGCATATAGAGGCAGTATATTGTGATCCTTCATTTTTAAGCAGCTGTTCTTGTTTAAAACTTTGGAGGCGTTTGTGTTTCATGTTGCCCTTTATTTTTTTTATTTTTTGGGGGGGTGGGGGCTTGGACTCCAACGGTAATTGCACACAGAATTTAGAGCCATCATCGGCCCGGCCTATCCTGCTCCTCTACGTTTGGGGATAGACGTCACTGTGTTAAAAGGACGATATTTAAATATGTAGACATATGTGTTGTTGCTGATTCAGCACAAAGAAACCAAGGTGGAGTGGTGCTTCATCTCGAGCGTGAGGCTGAAATGCATTTGTGCAACCCCTTATAAGAAGATGAGACATTTGTTCTGTCGCGTCTCCTTCTGAGCAGGGTTCTTGCTACAAAAGGAAGTAAATCGTTGCTTTATTTAAACTCACATGCTGCACTGCTAAACTGTTATTTGACAGCTGAAAACCTCTAAACGCTTTAGATTCTCGCCCATTCGTCCTCACTCCTGTGCGTTTCGTAGAAAACATGCGTTTGTTGTGCACATATGCAGCGTCGGCCCTCATGGAGTCAGAAATGATTTCTTTGCCCGCCCTTTTATTTATTTATTTATTTATTTTTTTGGTGCTGCACTAATTCCAATAAGTCTCTGTAATCTTCTCCTCCGCCCTGAGAGAAGAAATCCATCTCGCCTCTGTTTTTCCTCCTGAACTGCTTTCATGTCCACGGGGTTGATTGAAAAGAGACAAATGTATCGGCGTGCACATAAACTCCGCTCGGTTTCCATTTTCTTCCGACAAAATGATTAAGCTAATTTGCAATAAACGGCACAGCCAAACATATGACGTTCACATCGTGCTCTAAATATATCAGTTCCTCTCTTTTCTAATATTCACTGGATGACGAGCTACGGCTGGGTTTGTCCTCTGGCCTGTGAAATTGAGGTGCGCCTGACACGGTTTCAAACATCAGGCCTTCACCCCTGCAGCTGCTCTGCAGCTACGCTCAGGTCGGACAGCGAAGCAGATTAAACGGAGGGACGTCAGGAGTCTTTAGTTCGCTCAAAGCCAAATTGGTCCCGCTCTCCTCTTCCTGCCACAACGTATTTGTTCATGCAGGGCGAAGCACTGTGTCCCCTTTTTATAGAACACACCTAAACAAGCGCGTGGGCAAAAACCAGATTGAAAAAGTTGAAAATATTCACATTTTTTTATTTTTATTGTTACGTTTCTGTCAGCAATATTGACACCTATCTGACATCACATGACCAGCTGCAGGGATAAACGATTAAACGGACTTGTTAAAATGTGCTTTTGTGATAAAAAAGTGTTTTAAAAGCTTCACTTCTTTGATGTTTTTTGACTGGGCTCACGTTTACCCAACGAGTGGTTTTTATCTCATGCAGACAGGAAGATCTAAACTGTGATATTATAAAACTCGAGCTTTATGTCATTTGTTCCCTCGCAGTTGTTTTATCTACAGAGCTATGTCTTTGTGTGCGTTTTCTCCATTAATACTGCTTCATATTGATGCACTCTAACTTTTCTATGAAACCATGTACAGTTTTGTTTGTTAGGTTTCCATTGTGGTGCATAAGGGGTTGCTACTAAATGTATTTCACACGGTGGACATTTGCTCTGAAGCTACATAACCTGATTAAATTAACTGTGGTTGATTAAAAACAATGTAACATAGAGCTATTCTCACTTGTATACATCATCATATACAGAATATTATTCTTGGCCATTGTTTCTCTTTTCTCGTGGCCCTTTGCTTTTGAAACGATGCCACCGTTTTTACACCAG